CGCGGGGGCGGGGGGGGCTGCGGGGGAGCGGGGGTGGGGTGCTTGTTGGAGGCGGCGTAGGCTGGAGACCAGGGGCCTCTGAGGCCTGGGCTGAAGACGGGGCTCTCCACGGGTCTGGGAAACGTCTGTACACAACCCATTGGAGTCAAGAGGCGGGCCGCCGGGACTCCACCCTCCAGCAGGGACCAAGGGGCTCTGACAGTGAGAGTGTCTAGTTCGAGTTCCAGCCGAGCGCCAGCACGCTGGGACCAGGCAGGCTGAGCCCAGGCCTCACGCCGCTGGCCCGCCTCGGTCCCCAGACGCGGAACCCCTCGGTGGCGGTGTACTACACCAACCGGGCCTTGTGCTACCTGAAGATGCAGCAGCACGAGCAGGCGCTGGCCGACTGCCGGCGTGCCCTGGAGCTGGACGGCCAGTCTGTGAAGGCGCACTTCTTCCTGGGGCAATGCCAGCTGGAGTTGGAGAGCTATGACGAGGCCATCGCCAACCTGCAGAGAGGTGGGCTGCCAGCTGCCTAGGGGGGACCGGTGGGCTGGCCAGGGGGTGACTGGAGCCCCCATTCTCCCAGCCTACAGCTTGGCCAAGGAGCAGCGGCTCAACTTCGGGGACGACATCCCCAGCGCCCTGCGCATTGCCAAGAAAAAGCGCTGGAACAGCATGGAGGAGCGGCGCATCCACCAGGAGAGCGAGCTGCATGCCTACCTCACACGGCTCATCGCCGCAGAGCGCGAGAGGTAGGCCCCGGCGCATGGTGCAGGTCGGTGCGGGGCGCAGCATGAGTTTATTGGAGGGCCACATCGAGGGGCAGGGAGGCTGGGCGGGCCTGGGCATCTGCCCTAAGGGTAGGGTGGGGTCTGACCAGCTGCTGGGCAACCCTCAGGGAGCTGGAAGAGTGTCAGCGGAGCCACGAGGGTGACGAGGATGAAGGCCACATCCGGGCCCTGCAGGCCTGCATCGAGGCCAAGCACGTGAGGGAGCCCCGCCCAAGCGTGGGTCTGTGGGGGAGTAGGGGGGACGAAGATGCACAAGGGAGCCCCCGGTGGGTCTGTCCTGTGTGGGGAGGGAGACAAGGTGCGGCGGCGTGGCCCACACTCGGCACTCGCTCCTCCCAGGACAAGTACTTGGCAGACATGGACGAGGTCTTCTCACAGGTGGATGAGAAGAGGAAGGTGCGTGTGCCCTGCCCTGTGAGCACAGGCTGCATGGAGGCCTGCTGTGGTCCCTGAACCCATGCCCTGTGCCCCTGTCCACAGAAGCGTGACATCCCTGACTACCTGTGCGGCAAGATCAGCTTTGAGCTGATGCGGGAGCCCTGCATCACGCCGAGTGGCATTACCTATGATCGCAAGGACATCGAGGAGCACCTGCAGGTGAGGGCGGCGGGCCTGCGCACTGGGCCAGCAGCGTGGCCTGGGCTCACCGAGCACCCCCGACCTTGTCACTGCAGCGTGTGGGCCATTTTGACCCTGTGACTCGGAGCCCACTGACCCAGGAACAGCTCATCCCCAACTTGGCCATGAAGGAGGTCATCGACGCCTTCATCTCAGAGAACGGCTGGGTGGAGGACTACTGAGGCCTTCGTTGGCAGCATGGCCAGGACGTCCTGGGCAAAAGCCCCTAGCCCTGTACCTGGCTGCCCTGGGCCCTGCTCCCGCTGTTCTGCTGGGCTCTGGACTGCCCCCTTTTCGGCATGCTCTTGCTGGGCTAGAACCTCCCCTGTCCCTCTTCTGGGCTGGCAAAGCAGGTGAGCGCGGGGTGGGCTGGGCTGGGGATGCCGCCGCCGCCACTATCCCTACAATAAAACCTATGAGTACTCCCTGGGCACGTGCTGGTGTGCGCCGGCTTGCCTGCTGCCTGTTCTGGTTGGTTAGCCCAGGAAGGTGGAGATGAAGACGCTGGTGTCAAGGTTGAGCGTGGCATGCCACCAGTGATCAGGGAAATACAGCACCTGCAGGGGAGCAGGTGGGCAGGGATTAGCTGGGGACTCTGACAGCTGACAGCCTGCCTCCTCTAGCCAGCCACTGACCTCACCAGCCCGGACGGTGCACTCCAGGGGCCGTGCAGATGGAGCCAGGGCTGGGTATATGTCCCGGAGCCAGGCCAGTGTGGTCTTGTTGGGGTGGAACTCTGGTGTTCTCTCAGGTGGGTAGAGGAGCCAGCGCTGGGGAGAAGAGGGGAAAGGTCCCCTGTGTACCCTATGGTGAGTGGTCCCCAAGCCCTAGCCCCCACCTCGTGCTGACCTTGCGGCCGTAGATCACCTCGGAGTACCCAGGTCCGTGCCAATGGAAGGGCACCCCAGAGCCAGCCCCTGTGGGACCGGTTGTGAGTAGCTGTGACAGGTGTGACCTGCTCTCACTGTGGGCCCCACCTCCCTTCCCCAGAGGGGCACCTACCTGCGACCCCAAAGCTGTAAGCAGGAGTGGTACCTAGTAGACCGAACGGCGGTGGCGAGTAGTGCCGGAAGAGTGCTGCCCATTCGGTGAAGTTGTTGTCTCCGAAAAAGTACAGGGTGTCTGCAGACAGGTGGTGAGGTGTGGTCGCGGCTGCCGTGTGCACTGCCGCGTGCACTGTCCCCCATGCCCGCCTGGCTCACCATTGCCCAGAGCAGAGGGGTCCTGGGGCCGCAGCAGCTGCTCCACATAGTCCTGGAAGGGCAAGTCCACTGCGGGGAGAGAAAGGGCCAGTCAGGGCCCCGCCCGCCGCACGCT